GCGTCGAGCACAAAAATCGAATATCAAATTTAGTTAATATTACGAATGCGAAGTTTGCTTTATCAGAGACCCGATTCAGATACGGTCCAATATAAAGTATTAAATTGCGAGTTTCATATCGTTAAATTCACGATTATCAATTACATATTGTTTAATTTACCAAATTCTATTACTATTATTATTTCAAGATCTATTTAGTTCTCTATTCTAATTAATCAATTATAATCTATATATTGTTCTTTATTTGTTGTTCTTGTTATTTGTTAGTTCTATTTCTTATCGTTTTATTGAATAAATCTAATTGTTGAAAGATCTTGACCTGTGGATTTCAATCCTTAACCGCACACCACACGAATCCCACAATCTTTATTCGTAAAATCGAGTCGTTTAGAGGTAAAAGCCGCTCTTTACCTTTTAGCGCTTGTAACTAACTAAATTTAGGTTCTAGGGACGTTACACATGTAACAAAACTAACTCAAGTAAACGCGTTAACATTCGGTGATTTGGTTTCGTGTTGCAATATTCTTGGACTGGACTATAGTGGTTCACGAGAAGATTTGATTCGTAAAATGTGCAGTGCATTAATTGACATAAGTTCACTTGTAACAACTACTGAAAATAACGAAGACGTAACAGAAGACGAAGACGCGATTGACCATCATGACGACCAAAACGAGGAAGAAAGCGAGGACATAGAAGATGTCGATGGTATGTCCGTCGCATCAAATCGAAGCATAAGACGTAACAATCAAGAAAGACGCAGAAAACCTGTCGAATTCGCAATGAATTACCGTGATGTAGAAGACTCGATACGATCCTTTGATGGCAGTAGTTCGTATCCAGTGGAACGATGGATCACTGATTTTGAAGATGTTGCAATCCTGTTTGAGTGGACAGAATTAGAAAAACTAGTGTTTGCAAAAAAATCATTAAAAGGATTGGCTAAACTATATATTCAAAGTGAAGGTGTATGGTTAGTTCTTTCGGAAGAACAATGGCCATTTTCAATCATTCAACCTACAGAAATCCCTGAATTACGTCCAATCGTCGCGTTATCAATACAAATTGATTCCAGTTTTTTAGAAAGGTTTTCTTCCTTCCATCGTCTTAGACGCGTTACAGCATACATGATTCGCTTTATCCAAAACAGTTTAAAACGAGAACAATTAAAAGGTGTTAAAACGTGGGCAAAATTAAAAGAACTGTTGCGTGACGAATTCTCGACGAAAATGAACAGTGCCGAATTACACAATTTGTTGTCACAGCGAAAAATGCGAAGAAACGAGACGGTACAGGAATACTATCTTATTATGAAGGAAATTGCATCGCGTGGAACGATCGAAAACGACGCTTTGATTCAATATATCATTGACGGCATACCCGACGAAACAAGTAATAAATTAATTCTATTTGGTACCAGAAAACTTAGTGATTTCAAAGAACGATTGAAAGTGTACGAAACATTGCGGAAGAAGAATCGTGAGGCTCCTGTAAGAGTAAGAGAAGAATCGACGAGGAGAACGGATTTCGGAGGAAGAGGCGACTATTCAAGAAAAACCCCGTTCCAGAAGAATGAAAATGCAACGACATCGAGAGTCGAATCAAGGTGTTACAATTGCGGTGAAAAAGGACATCTATCTAGAGACTGTGCGCGCAAATCGCTAGGGAAAAAATGTTTTGAATGTGTTTTGGGCATACTGCCGCAGAATGTACGAAAAAGGAAGGAGGTAAGCCGACTACAAATTCCTCAGGTAACATCCACTGTTAATACTATTTCAACTTCGACGAGACACGAGATGCGTAAAGAAATTTTCATTAACGATGTACGCGTTAAGGCATTAATTGATACTGGTAGTTGCGTTAGTTTACTGCGCGAAGACGTTTATAAAAAAATTGGCATTGGCAATTTGCATGAGTGTACGACAAAATTAACTGGTTTCGGTAAAGGAAACGAAACACTACCTCTTGGCTATGTGCAAATAACTATTAAAATAGATTCAGAAGAATTTCCGACAACAGTTTACGTTGTACCAATTGATTCGATGAATGCAGAAGGTGTAATTGGCACCGATATTATAAATTTGGCCGAATTGACAATTAATCAACAGAATATTATTTTTCGTAAAATTCCACTATGCACATTTTTGACACAAATTCCTACTGATAATAATTTATTAGATTTGACGCACGTTCAGGATGGTAAAATACGTGAAGAAGTACAAAGTTTAATAAGTTCATATACACCCGAAAAGAAAAAAGATGCCACAATAAACATGCGTGTTGCATCGCCTTAGAGTGCGATGCAGCTATCTTTTATATTTTTACAAGGCAATAGACCGAGGATCTCGAACTGACCGTACAGGCAATAAGTTTATGAAGCCATTGACCATTTTTCGTTAGCAAAAAATACCTTCGCGTCGGTACCCAAGTTTACTGCTTGGGACCAGCATGTTTAATTTCCTATTCCGTTATTTTCAATCATCGTTGTCAGGGTCAGAATGCTTTTTCACCTTATTACCTGCTACGGGTTTTTCCCAAATCGCGGTATCCCTCGTGCGTCACCCCTTGGTCGCGGCTACTTCCAGGGGTGACCATTTCTTGTGCGAGGGAGGTGACCATTTCTTACGAGGGCGGTCAC